GGTATGGTTAGTGATAGGTTAACAAAGGGTGTGGTTAGTGATAGGTTAACAAAGGGTGTGGTTAGTGATAGGTTAAGAAACGAGTAGTAAAGATATAGTAAAGGGGTAGGTTGGGGCACTAAAAGCAGGCAGAGCAAGTTTCAGAAGGAAGCCAAGCATCTGTAGTGAAGGCCTAGTTGAAGGAAAAGGTTTCTTTGGTTGGATACTTCTACAAAGTAGCACATGTACACCAGCAGTGGTCTGACAAGAGCTGCAGTGACGTCCTCCGCTCTGCATCGACCCCGTTACACCAGCCACGCAAAAATGATTTCAAAACATCAAAGCTGGTATCACCATCTCATTCCCCTAAGTGAACGCACAATGAGGAATAAAACAGAAAGCTTTTCATTTCCCCTGCCTCCTTTGCTGTTTTGAAGATGAATCACTGCTGCCCAGTGAGAAGGACCCTGATGTGCAGTTTTGGGGAGAARATGGGTTAGGCATTCCTGCATTACCAAAACAAACCATTCAGCAAACTAACAATTAGGCACTTGTGAATTATGGACAATCCATCTAAAACAGCTTTAAAAACATGGAGTGAGAAGTTGTGAAAGTGACTGTTGAATTAATTAACAATGTTTGTTTAAACGCTTTGGAATTGGGCTCATAATGAAAGCCTTCCTTTATTTACATGACTTACATACAGTTTTCGCTATGTGATGATTCTACTCATGTCTGTGGGTATGAGTGGTAGAAAACAAGGTAATACTGAGAGGGAAATGGGAGAAATGGTGTCTTGTACCTCACAAAGCAACATGGCCATTACCCTGAAACATTCATTTTTCACAGTCCTGTGTTTACCTCTCACAGACACGCACAGTCCATGCAGCAATGATCCAGGAGGATATACTGAAGACCAGCAGCACKGTTCCTGGACAGATGGTCATGAGGGTCTTCATGACAAAGCGGGTGTTGAAGTTGATCTTGTTGAGGGCACCGATGCTGCGGGACGAAGCATCTGTGAACAGCTTGCTGTGGAGTAACATAACCCTGCCGATCAGGTAGAGTCTCAGAAACATGGGGATTGAGAGGATAATGTCCACGTCAGCGTCGGCCACAGATGGCGTGTAGGTGAAGGCCAGCCGTGCTGTCCACGTAAAGACATACTGGCCTGGGATGGGATGAATGGCACACACCAAAAGCTCCAGCACGATGAAGAAGATTCTCTCATATGTCATGGCTATCCTCCAGTCATCTGCACCATTGTCAACCATGAACAGCTGTGCAAAAACAAAGGGAGATCAAGAGATCTTGAGTTAAATGAAGTTATTCTTTTTAACCTTTCTTTTGAACACGTTATATAAAACAGCTCACCTGTGACCTGTTTTTCTGGTTTCATGGCATTTACCTCGTTAGTTCTCCAAATTTAACTACTCTGTAATTTTGTGGTTTGAGATCTTGTCTGGATGTGATAATTATACACTAAAGTACAGTAGAAATAGGAAACGTGGWGCATGCACATAAGGTTTACACACTGAGTAGACTATGTCTATACAAACCATAGACTGTAAATAGTATACTGCACAGTCTGTGGTTTGAACTATAAAGACAACAACAACAAAAAGAGACAAGAGTAGATATAAGATTGAGAACCATTTCTTTCTGTGGATTGATGACAAACAGGAAATAATATTTTGTGTCACACCAAACTGCAAGACATGAAGTGCAGGATAATACTGACTGGTAGCTGTGTCAGTACAAATAAGGACATAACAGATCATTTTCAGGCCCGSTATCAGCAAAAGACATTGGAGGGAAATATTTTCTTGAAGTTKGTGCTCGAAAAATCATGCCCAAATGTAACTGGGTGTATCTCAACACCTAAAACCCCATATAAATACCCCTGATATCAAAATAAAGCTAACACTTAGGGGATTTCATCGGGAGTGTAAGTATCACATCATATGCTTTTGTTTCAGAGAAATTGAGGATGGAACATAGAAAAAAATAGAAAAAAATACAAAATAAATAGAAAAAAATAGAAAAAAATTATATATTGTAAATGAACTGAATTAAATCAGACTTTTATTTTGAAATATCCAGTTACCAAAACAGGATGTGTCACCACAAGTTTGTGAAATTGACTTTGATGTTGCGTGGCTGCACTGTGTTAAAATATCAGCATATGACATACTTCCATGAGTGGCTGTGTGATATATTCATTCTGAAGCTGAATTAAAGCAGTAGGCTAACTCACTAATAGTGAACATGTGAGTTTGTTAATAAACCAGCAGCACAACAGCGATAAATTACTTTTGCGAGGGAACACAAAAGGTATTGCGAGGTAACGCAATACTATTGCTTGGGAACGCAAAAGAAAAAAAATCTCCCACGTCCCCTCGCGGGYTCAGTAATAAAATATGAGTCTACAGAGGACAATAAGTTAAAAGCTGTTTGGGAGCCAAACGAGCCGACTCTTCTTTGGGAGCCGGTTCTCGGAAAAGAGCCAAACCTCCYATCACTAGTACTGAATGACTCTTATTTTGAAATACCTAGTTACCGAAACTGTTATTACCACTACGGGTTAAGGAAGTTGACCGAAATATGAGCACCAGTTAYGTTTGTGACAAAAATTAATTAAACWGAAGTAGCTCCCATAGACATGTGTGCAGGTGGATTTATTATTGGCAGACAYACCATCCACATTAAGTAAACTCAATATTTCCCAGTATCTCATACCTAGGAGGAAGAGTATATCAAATCCAATAGTGCAGTACATTTGTCCTGTAATGTAGGTCAGCTATGACTCTCAGTAACTTTTCTCAGAATTATGAGATCAGTATTGTTGGTTAAATTGTGATTTAAAATATTATGGTTCATGTAATTGTGTGATATATTAATACTGTTGATCTGTGTTTATTTACTTTAACTGATTTCATGGTTTGTGGATGGGAATGTTGCGTGTAAAAACTAGGGTTGGGTATTGAAAGGGTTTAATTCGATACTGGTGCTAAATCGATACTTTCAAAACGGTACTGGTTCCTAAACGGTATTTAAATCGGTACTTTAAAAATAAATAAATAAAACACACACACTCCCACAGAGGTTTATGAAGCAATGATTATTTCTGAGTCAAAGTCAAACTTGAAATTGACTAACATATTAACTTAAAACCATTAATAATTTGTCTTTGCACCAAATATTCTTAAAGCATTTGTTGTAGGTGGAAGTTTCTGCATCTTATTTTGTAAAGTGACACCACACTTTGGACCATTTTGCTTTCCACATCTCGACTATAATATGTTGTATAATAAATAACTGTTAACTGCAGCGGTACCTGTTAGCCCCTCTCCATGAACTCGGTTCTACTGGATTAACTTTGGGTCGGGTTGGTTCTGCTCAGTGTCCTTGTGTCTCCACGCAGTGTGTCCCTCACTCTGTGGGTATGATAATGTGTGGACCGTCCACAGCGGCTTCAACTGTTGTGTTAATAATAATAAATTTTAAAAAAGCTGTTGTGGTCTTACCATTCGGACTTCACTTTTTTTTATTTATTTATTTATTTATTTATTTAT